CAAGAACTTGATGTCAAGGGTCACTCGAAGTTTCAACTGAAGTAAGTGTTGTAGTAATGATCAAGGAAATAGCGTGTAGGGTTCATCGTAATTTCATGATTCATGATCTGTGTGCAATGAAACGTCAATTCTGTTTCTGTGGGTAGAAGTGTATGTGAAAGTGAGGTCATCCTTGGCCTATTGTGTGAAATAAATTCTGAGCCTTTTTGGTTTTTTGCCCTGTTTTTGGTATTTATTTTCGGAAGAGATATACAAAAATTACCAACAAAAAAAAACCCCTCGGTTTGAACTTTGAAGCTAGTACATGTGAAATACACGTGAGCGAAAGAGGCATGGTAGGCCCCATTATCAACATAATACAAAGCAGTTTCTCTCTACATATATATTTACAAATCATTCTTATCTCTCTCTTTTCTTTATCTCTTTCCAACGAGAATTGAATAAAAATAAAATTGAAAAACAATCATTAAATATTTTACAAATGACTTATATTTAGGACAAAATTTTCTCTATAAGTGATTTATAATAAAGATCGAAGTGATATATAAGATGCATGCCCAAGATGTGTTTGACGCTTGTAGGAACCATTAGCATATGTCCTACGCTTGATTTAAAATAAATAAATAAATAGGGTATAAAATTGATTGTCACAAGTCCCACATTGGGGCGGTTGCCTTGAAAGATGGGCTGTATATAAGGCATTAGGCTCTCAAACTCCAATAGCTAACTTTTGGACCCTGGTTCTCTTAAAAATTTATACTCATTACATTGATTCTTTCATTGAGAGTTAGCCGACAGTGAAGCCATCAGGACATCAACTCTTGATGAGGATGGTGAATTGTGTCCCGTGTTGGGAGGATTACCTTGAAAAAAGAGCCTTATGAAATCTTAAGCTCTCTTAAGAGTGTGGTTCTTTTGTAGTCATTCTATGGGCACAATTAGAATAAATTAATGAAAATACGATGAACTTAGGAAGAGCAAGAAAGAACTTGGAGGAAGGGAAGTTTCAAGGGGGGAGGAAAAATGGTTTCTTAATATCGTTCATGAATTACTATATGTTCAGTAAATATATAACTTCTGTAAGTGTACGTTAGCATCTATCTTCGGTGACAAAATAAACATAACACTTCGAGACCTCAGCTTAGATAAGCAATCAAAACAAACACTTTTGCGACCGTGAATTAGTGGATTCTTCTATCAAAACACATACGTTCTAAACAAAGTAATCTGCAGGGATCAAATTTAAAGAGGAGACTGAAGAATCCAGAACGAAGCAAATAAGCTAGCTGCTGCAGCTATAATGAGCTTCTTTTTGGTCAAGAATTAAACAGATTTAAAGAGATGGGAATACGATATCGAAAATAGACTCCAAAAATTGTTTTCATCCTTTTCTTTCATCAACACACATTTAATATAATTTATTCTTGACATGATTGTACGAGTAATTGAGATAATGTTAAACTCCAATACGAGATTGTTATTTCATGTGACTGTATATAAGTAATATCATTTAAGAAGTCACATTATGTAGAAATATTATCTCCAAGTGAACAATAAGATTGGATAGTTGATGCCAACTGTTACCAATCGAAAATGGGAAAATGAATATCTTACTTTATTACTCTTCATAACCAAGTATATATGTACATGATTAATATATATAACAGAAAGATAACAGAAATTAGTTTCTAACTTAATAACAGATTAATTCCCTAACACCCCCCGCAAGCTAGAGCATGGATGTTTTTCATGCCCAGCTTGGAAGTGAGCTCATGGAATCTGGCTGGATGTAGAGGCTTGGTGAAAATATCAGCTAGTTGATTTGTTGTCCGAACTGGGAGTAGATGAATAACCTTTGCCTGTAGCTTTTCTCTGACCAGATGACAGTCAAGTTCGATGTGTTTTGTGCGCTCATGGAAGGTTGGATTGGAGGCAATCTGAATAACAGATTGATTATCACAGTAGAGCAGTGCAGGATCTATGTGAGATAAGTGGAAGTCGTTTAGAAGGTAGATAACCCATTGTAGTTCACAAGTGGTTGAGGCTAGAGCCCTGTATTCAGCTTCAGAGGATGATCTAGAGACTGTGGTTTGTTTCTTGGCTCGCCAGGAGATTAAAGAGGAACCAAGGAAGATGGCAAAACTAGTGACTGATCGACGAGTATCAGGACAACCAGCCCAATCAGAGTCACTGAAGCTTTTTAATTTCAAGTTGGATGTAGAAGAGAAAAGGAGACCTGCTCCAAGAGAGGATTTAATGTACCTTAGAACACGGTGGGCTGCCTGAAGATGGATATCAGTGGGAGAGGACATGAATTGGCTCAACTGCTGTGTAGCAAAGCTCAAGTCCAGCTGTGTGGTAGTAAGATACTGAAGTCTACCAATAAGTTTCCGATAAGATTGTGGATCAGTCAAAGGTTGACCCTTGTCTTTGAAAAGCTTCAAATGTGGGTCCATGGGAGTGGAGGCAGGTTTGCATGCCAAATAACCAGTGTCTTGAAGTAGCTCTAAGGCGAATTTACGTTGAGATAGAAAAATGCCATCTTTGGACCGAGCAAGTTCAAGACCAAGAAAGAAACGGAGTTCACCAAGGTCTTTAATTGTGAAGGCTGCATTTAAACGTTGCTTAATAAGAGAGATTTCAGCCAAATCATTTCCAGCAAGGACCACATCATCAACATATATTAGTATAGTAGTAAAGGAATAAAAAACAGCTCTGAAAAAGAGAGAATGATCAGAGGCTGACTGAACATAGCCATAGGAAAGTAAAGCAGATGATAATTTTGAATACCATTGGTGACTTGCTTGTTTCAAACCATAGAGGGACTTTTGTAATCTGCAAACCAGATTTGGAGAAGAGGGTGTAAAGCCTTTTGGAAGGTCCATATACACTTCTTCATGTAGGTCTCCATGAAGAAATGCATTATTGATGTCTAATTGATGTAAGAACCAATTTTTTGCAGCTGCAATAGAGAGCAGTAAACGAAGAGAAGTCATCTTGGCAATTGGTGAGAAAGTGTCAAAGTAATCAATGCCCTCTGTTTGTGTGTAGCCTTTTGCTACAAGTCTGGCTTTATATCTCTCAACTTTACCATTAGCTTTATACTTAGTTTTGAACACCCATTTGCACCCAATGGTTCTCTTGCCAGGTGGTAAAGAAGTTAAAACCCAAATCTGATTCTGTTCCAGAGCATGTATTTCTGTTGTCATAGCATCCCTCCATTTTGAATGTTTAACAGCTTGACTATATGTTTTTGGATCAGGGTAGAGGTGACAAACAAGACAAAATTATGGTAAGCAGAAGAAAGAGAAGAATAGGATAAAACTGAAGATAGAGGATACTTAGATGAGTAACCTGGACTTGATGATTGGTCAGCAGTAGAAATAAGGGCACAATGATAATCTTGCAAATATGATGGAGGTTTATGGGGTCTAGTTGAGCGGCGAAGGAAATGGGAGGTAGTCTGAGGAGAGGGAGGAGAAATGGATGAAGGGGTAGATATAGAGGGAGGAATTATTGATGAAGAGGAGTTATTATTATCATCAATAGTGTCAGCAGAAGCAGAAGAAGAAGTGGGTGAAATAGTGGTAGGTTCAATAGCAACAGAAAGAGAAGTGGGTGAAACAGTGTTGGGAAAAGAGACAGAGGAGATGTTGTTGTCATCATCTAAAAAGACAGGAAAGTCTTGAATGGTGGGGTCAGAAGGAGAACTAATGGGTGAAGAAAGAGAACTGACTTTGTCAGATTTGAAAGGGAAAATTAGTTCATGAAAAACAACATCTCTAGACAAAAAAATTTGATTTGTAACCAAGTCTAATAAAATGTAAGCTTTTGAGCCAGACGGAAAACCAAGGAAAATGCATTTTCTAGCTCTTGAATCAAATTTAAACCTATGACTGGATAATGTAGATGCAAAGCATAGGGAGCCAAAAACTTTGAAATCAGAATATGAAGGTTCAGTGTTGTATAATTTTGCATAGGGTGTGGAATTATGAAGCACAGGAGAAGGTAAAAGGTTGATAATGAAAGCAACATGCTGAACAACAAAGGACCAGTAAGTAATAGGTATGTTAGACTGAAATAATAAAGCACGAGCAACATTTAAAATGTGTTGATGTTTCCTTTCTACAAGACCATTTTGCTGAGGAGTCTCAACACAGGATGTTTGGTGTAAAATTCCTTTAGAAGTATAATAATCAAGCATAGAAAATTCTGGGCCATTATCAGAACGGATGACTTTAACAGTGGTAGCAAATTGATTTTCAATGAGAACTAAGAAATTTTTAAGCTGTGTTCTGGCATCAAATTTAAGTCGCAATAAGAATAGCCAAGTATAGCGGGAGTAGTCATCAACAATTGTAAGAAAATATTTATGTCCTTGAATAGAGGGAACAGAAAAGGGTCCCCAAATGTCAACATGAATCAGATCAAAAATTTTATTGCTTTTACTGGAGCTTACAGGAAAAGGTAATCGTTTGTGTTTGGAAAAATGACAAGTATCACAAACAATGGAATGAGGAATACAAGTAATGTCAGGAATTTTCTTATGCAAAACAGATAAAGTTGAATTGGAAATGTGACCAAGGCGAAGGTGCCAAAGAGTGAAGGTTGAGTCTGTTTTGGTAGTGGCCAAATGAATATGAGAAGCAGGAAAGGATAGAAGCATATCTGCATTTAAGAGATAAAGCCCGTCGAAAATTTTAGCTGTAGCAATCATCAGTGAAGGTTGGAGCAAGTGTATCTGACATGAATGAGAATAAAAAAAATTAGAAAACAGTGAAGAGAAAGTGTTAAACGAGAAACCAATATGATGTTGAAGGTAAAATTTGGGAGATACAGGACATTGTGTAAGACCAAAGAGGAAGATAGAGCAATAATACCAGAAATAGAAGCTATGGAATGAGAACCAGTAGGAAGATGGACAGAAATGGGTGAAATAGATTGATAAGAAGAAAATAAATCTAAGGAAAAGCAGACATGATCAGTAGCATCAGAATCGATTATCCAAGTACTGGAAGGTGGAGAAGGAAAACCGAGGAGACTGAAGTAGATACGTGATTAACAGAAGTAGAGGCCGAAGGTGGAGATGGACTTAGCAGAGTTAGGAGATGTTGGTATTGCTCAACAGAGAGTTGAGGAAGGATAGTCATTGTTTGTGTTGAGTGATGAGGAGGGAGAGGCTTAGAAGGATGGATTTCTTGAACAGAGGCAAAATCTTGAGTCAAAAAATTATTCACAGAGGCAGAGGAACCATTGCGAAACCTGAAACCCAGTGGAAAACCATGCTTTCTATAGCATGTTTCTTCAGTATGCCTTGGTTTCCCACAGTAGGTGCATTGTTTGATGGTACTCTGGTTCGAACCAATGAAAGAACCCGCAGGAGAAGGTCGTGAACCCTTAGTAAGCATAATCTTGGGCTCTGGAGCAATGTGAAATTCGCGTTCTTGTTGCAGTACAAGGGAAAAGGTTCGAGTAATGGAAGGTAAAGGATCAAGCATCATAATTTGAGACTTTACGGAAGCATATTGCTCGTTAAGTCCTTTGAGAAATCTGATCACGTAGTCTTCCTCTCTGTGCTTAGCAGCAGATCCATGGGAGGAACACGCACAGGGCTTGATCGGACGGATACTAGAGAGTTCATCCCAAAGGATTTTAAGCCTCGTATAGTACTCTGTAACATTCAAATTTCCTTGCTTCAGACTGTGTATTTCTTCCTGGAGATCGGCGATGCGAAAAATGTCAGACTGAGAGTAACGAGAACAGAGATCAGTCCAAATGTCGGAAGCCCGATCAAACCAAAGGATGCTCTTCGCAATGGTAGGAGAAAGCAATTTGGTGAGCCATCCTTGCACCAGGTTGTTACAGCACTCCCAGTATGGAAACATCGGGTCAAAAGCGGAAGGAGGAGGAAGAGACCCATCGACGAATTTTTTGGACAGGAGTGCCATGCGCATCGATCTTGCCCAGGTGTGATAGTTCGAACCATCAAGCGGCGGTGCAACCAGAATTAATGCGGGATTTTCATTGGGATGTATGTAGTAAGGAGAGGTCTGATCAATGGAAGGAGAAGCGGTGGTGGAGTCAGAGACGACAGAGTCAGCCATGGAAGCTCAGAGAGAGGAAAGTAGGACCGGATAGGGTGAAGGGCAGAAAAGGAAGAAAGGGAGAGAGAAAAAGAAAAAAAAATGTATGCTCTGGATACCATGTTACCAATCGAAAATGGGAAAATGAATATCTTACTTTATTACTCTTCATAACCAAGTATATATGTACATGATTAATATATATAACAGAAAGATAACAAAAATTAGTTTCTAACTTAATAACAGATTAATTCCCTAACACCAACCCTTTAAGTGAAAAGAATAATAGACGTAATTCAACCAAACTTTAAGAGAGATTATTAATGTTATTTACCGAACACACTCTAATAATCAATCAGCAAACAATTTCCAAGATCGAGGTATCCTTATGCACTGATCTTATTCAAGAATGGAATGAAGCACAATCATTTTCCATTTTCTTCTCCTCCTTCTACGCTTTCTTTTTTAATTTTTGTGATGATCCAAACTCCCAATTAAGTCACCCGTAACTGCATTTTTAAAGAAGTCTCCCGTAGATCTCTAATTAGTTTCTATCAAGATAGGCATAGTGGGACTTATGTTGTCTAATAAATCCTTGTTTTGAAGCAAAGCAACTACTTCAGACATCATTGGTCTGGTATCAGCAGATGCTTGGGTGCAAAGTAAACCAATCTCTATGATTCTCTTCACTTCTTCTGCATCATATCCATTAGGGTTTGCTGTTTTGTCGACCAACTCTAAATGCCTTCCTTTTTCGTATAAGTTCCAAGCCTATAGATATCAAGGTGAACAAAAGTGAAGTGAAATAAAAGGAGCAGAAAAATACAACCAAAAAATTAGGCCATTTTCCTGTTTTTATGGCAAAAATATATCTTAATCCTTTAACTTCACATAAAATTTCTTTTCGATCTCGTAATTTTATAAAATTTCTTTTCAATCATCTAATCCTAATGCCATTAGCGAAAAAAAAGTTTGCATGAAACTTTTGAATGTTTAAGAAATATCCTCACGTATTGACACATCAAGTTTAATTTTTTTAAATAATAATAATTGGTACGAAATGTCGTCATTTAATATTGATGATATTAGGGACAGGATATTGAAAAGATGTTTTATAAAATTAACGACCAAATTGAAAATATATTAATGATTGCCATATGTGCACTCCTATCTATTTTTAATATTAAATTACAATGTTTGTCAAAAAGAAATAGCTTGTTTTTTGGGGGGAAAAACCATATTGTTAGAATAGATACCACAAACCGTATCAAAAAAAAAAAAGAATAGATACCACAAATAAATTATCACAAAAAACAACTACCTTTCAAATGATCAAAGTAAACTTACCTTTTAAGGAAGGAATGCCCCTTCATCATCTTCTTCATCAAGGTTTAATTCTCTGCACTTTTGACCACTAATGATCTCTAAAACTACAATACCATACTTATAAATATCGGCTTTCTCTAATAAATGGCCATAAATTGCGTAGTCTGGTGATGTGTATCCTCCATATAATACATGTATAATATATATTAATTAGATATAAGCAAGAGCTCAAGTGAAAACATATATGTTATGACCCAGCAAAAATATGAAATGGACATATGCGATGTAAATCTTTGTGACATGTTTGACATTTATATGAATTCATTGAAGTATTCAAGCTAAGGTGTATATATAGTTATTTTGACTTACAATGTTCCTGCCATTTTTGTCCTTACATGAGATATGTTCTCCGGTTGTAGTCTTGCTAGACCAAAATGAGCAATTCTAGGTTGTAGATCATCATCTAAGAGGATATTATTAGTCTTGATATCTCTATGTATAATACGAATAGGAAATTCTTTATGCAAATAAGCCAAACCTCTTGCTGTTCCTAAATTATATCACATCACTGCTTCCAATTGAGAGAACCTTTCTTTTTACCTGTTTCTCAAGTTTGCAAACTTTGAAAGATAAGAGAAAAATACAGGAAGGTTGAAACATGATAATCATTTCAAAAATGTTACAATAGGGAATTGACATATGCTTATTCAATACTCTAATAAAATCATGACATATGAGTAAACTTTTGTTTGAGAAGTTAGTCATATATTATTAAGTTGAAAATATGTTCACATGTCATAACATTATTAAGAACTTTAATATAACCCATACTTATAGAATTCTTTTAAAAAATTTTAGTTGATTGATGGAAGATACCAAATATGAATCTATCAAGACTGCTGTTTTTCAAGTATTCATAGACAAGGATTTTATTGTAGCCTTTACTACAACAACCCAGGAGTCGAACAAGATACCGATGATGAACATTACTTATAAGCATCACTTCACTTTCAAACTCTTCCTCCACCCTATTGGAGTTGTATGAAGTCAATTTCTTGACTGCAACAACTTTTTCCATTCTTCAGAGTGCCCTATTCATGATAATAAGATAAAATCATAATTTTATTAAAAGTTCTAGTTTTGTTCTTTGCAAATATAATCTTCACAACATTATATTAAACTCATTTAGAGAAATCTATCCTTGCTTTACAGCATGATCAAGACTAAGATATTGAAAAAATCAAATTAAAGTTACCTTGTATACAGCCCCAGATCCTCCTTCTCCTAGTTTATTTTCTTCACTAAAATTTTTTGTTGCAGGCACCAAATCATTATAACTGTAGGTAACTGGGCCTTTCAGCTTGCTTACTCCAGTCAAGTCGCCTTTTATATATACAAACGCAAGTGAATGACAAAAAACCAGTCAAGGATTTATCCTCTCACATATATGAAAATTAAACCAAAGCATCATATATTAAATTATTATGAACTGATATATAGTACTCATTCGTTCCTAAATATAAGACCTATTTTGTAGTGTAATTTACACTATAGAATGAATAATATATTTAGGACCGGAGGAGTATTTGCATACTTTTCAAGTGGTTTCCTCTAGGAACCTTCTTATTGCTTTTTCGTTGTTTAATCCAAGCAAATAGTGCTAGGAGGATCAAAGAAAGTGCTACACCTCCAACAACTTTGCCAATAGTTTCCCTTTTGTTGCTTGAAGAACCTACAGGGCAGGAAAACAAATAAGTCATCTTTTGATTAATTAATCACTCAATTTGAATCGTAGCCAACTTTATTACATAGTTAAATGTAGAACCTTTGCTAATATAAACTATGCGCTTTTGCTTGATATAAATGTATCTAGCATATGTTTTCTCTGTGATTCTTAAAAACCACTGCTAAACTCTTCACCCTAGCATATTTAGTTGCGACTTCTTAGACTATAAGGAGGAAGGCCTAGACTCAATCCACAACTAGTACACTCACATGTTTCTTGTAACAATGTTGCTGCAGTAGAGATTTATATAGAGGATCCTGGATATTACAGAGGACATGGATAATATGTGATTTAAAATTATAGACAAGGAAGCTATTAATGAGATGTTGCAGTGATGTGTGGGATCATCTAGGAATGACTTGTACCTTGTATGACCAAGGGTATGGCATCAATGGTTTGGTTATCAGGAAAGAAGGAAGAGGTGGAGTATCTGATGAAGCAGCCAGCAGCATAAGCCCTGCCATCTGAATTGGGAAGACAAGTCTGCATATTGTTGTCCCCAGCGGTTAAGCAATCGAGGCAAGCACTTTGTGTGATAGTTTCTATACACTGAGCAAAGGCATAAATAGTTGGACCATTATTAGGCATTTGTGTCTTGGAAGCTGCATAAAAACCAGATGCGGTTGGTATTGTCGTTCTCAAATTCGTTAGCAATTTTTGGGCTGCTGATGTAAATTCTGTGGATTCTGCTGTCCTATTCCCACACGATACAGCATTGAATGACGTTGTCTCGCTGAAGAAAGTGCTAACCTCGTACCTAAGTAAAACGCCACAACGTATATACCATAATATCATTTTTCCAAGCTCAATATGAAATACTACCTCTGGCTTTTAATATAGGAACTAGTTGACTAATTTGAGTAGATTAAAAAAGTTTGCTAAGTTTATTATTTGTAATAAATAGGTGTTATCTTCTCTGAAAAACTCTTACTAATCATGTGTATTAGTTAGAATTAGTATTTGATGAAAACTACAAGGAGAACTTTAAAAATAAATAAATAAATATGATATGCAAAGTGAATTGAGGTTCATATTTAGAACTAAATTGAATGTTAAATTAACTTTTTTATTAAGGACAAGAGATTGTATTATACTTTGTACAATGTATAAGATAATAGTACATGTAGGTTATTAATGCTGATAAAGATGATATTTTGAGTTATTTGTTGACTATGAAATTATGTTACATGATTATTGAGTCAAATATGTGATTTATAATGAGCATTCATTTGCACCTGTGCATCACACGGGTATTATATAATTTATTCAAAAACAGAATGACGATAACTCAAGCTTTAAGTAGGGTGGTACCTGAGAAAGCAGTTGTCGTAGAGGACATGAGCACCATGGGTGCCGACAGAGCAATTGCGTATTGCGACGGCGGCAACATCCAAGCAGGCGAGACAGTAGGCGATGGAAAGGTAGTCTCTGCACTAAAAAAGAGAGGAGGCGGGGTTGGTCTGATCACCTCGCTGCGACGTTGCAAAGTGCTTGCTTTGGTCTTTGACCTAATCTCTCAAATCTCGAAATGTTGTGTTTAGGTTCTCTGAAACATCCTTACTTTAACCCCTCAGAGTATGTATTTGGAAGTGTTACGGTTCAAGCGATTCACAAAATAAGCATGTAGATTGAACTTTGTGATTGGTTCTCGGGTTACTGTTTACTGGTTAAATTCCAGATTTTTCGGTCCAACTTTGAGCAATCATAACTCTTATCACACACATCCATTTTGAGTGATCTACTACTGTTTTTAAATATCAGGATGTGTAATTTACTCATGTCAAATTTTATGAGCAGAGTCAATTATTTGCCATACTTCTACTCTGTCACTATTTTGTTACTCAATTAGGGATAGCTTATCCCTTGACTTGCACTAACAGTTCATGATTAAGACTTTCCATACATAATACCATTCATACACTAACTATTCCCATACATTATTATAGCTAATTACATAAGCCAACATCATCATTTATCATCATATACCATCAATGGCACATTTACCACATACATTGGTATATACGGTGTACAACGTAATACAACAAATTTCCCAAATCTTTTCTTCTTTCCTTGCTTCTACTTCACGTATCTTTCGCTTGATCATATCACCTATTATGGTTGGTTAAGGGAGCGTGAGATTCGGGAGAATCTCAGTAGCAAACAATAACCACCCCAAACATACATGGCAAGCTTGGCATTTATAACATGCTTGTAACTCAACATCTTTATAACATAATGACATGTTTAGAAATCATCATGCATTTATCATAAAACACATAGGCCTATGGCATATTCAAACACATTCACAATCACAACACATGAGTTCATACAATCATATAGCATAGAAACATGCCATACATGCAAGCAAATACCAAGCACATAAGAGTAAGGTCAAGTTTGCTACCTTGTGTCCTTAAGCTTTCTTCTTACTCCCTTTTTGTTTCCAACCATTAAAATTGCTTGCTCAAGCACATCCAAACCTTCTCTTGAATGCCTCAAGGTCCTAATCACAGTCACAAGGGTCACATTACTCATTAGGACCAAGAATTACATAATATGGAAGACTTAAGTCCTTAAACTTAATCCCTTTTTCCTTAACTTATAATGTAGAGTTCTGGCCTTGTAAAAATTGTTCCCCTAGGCTAATCCTACACAATTTTACCCAAAGAATCCAAATATGAGCTTAGATTCCTCAAACTCCAATTCCTTCCCTTGGTTCTAGGCCAAAAACGAAATCAGCTACTTAATTTTCAGTTTTGATTCCAATGCTTCCAACTTCATTCTTTCATCTTATCCCTACACAATTTTTCATTTTAAACACATTAGAAGTATCAAAATCATCGAAATCACATTCTAGGCACAAGAACTAGGTCTGGCCAAAATAGTACTCAAGTTACACAATTATGAAATTCAACCAATTACAGCATAAAACCACTTGATTCGTGTTCCTTTCAAGCCGTTGAATATTAATCTAACATCAATTTCATCACCTCCTCCAAGGGTTCCAAGCCAATAAAATTCGTGCAGTGCAACACCTTACATTTATATACTAATAGGATCATTTTTAATATTTGTGAATCTCTAATGCCAGGTTTCCTACCTGGGAAAAGACAAGAATTTTTTTTTTCTTTTCAACATTGGAATTCATCGATCAAAAATTTCAAACCTTTAGAATAATTAAAGAGTGATCCTAAATCAACTCTTCTTTCCACTTAATCTATTATAACCCATATTGATTTCATACTGTGCAATCTTATAATATTATATTAAAAAAAATAGAGCAACACTCTTGGTTGACAGCATATACTTGCACCCAGCAATGCTCACCTTCTTCTCAAACAACCTCCTTATCCTTCGAGCTACTAGCCTTCACTGTTCATCATAAATGGGAGGGTGAGATTCTAAAGAATCCCTGTAGTGTTAATTTCCATTAAACACATATGCAGATCACATAAAACATGCAAAACAAGCCAAGGTGGAACATAACCTTGCAAGCTAATGCAATTAAGCATTTATGTGCAATGACAAATAGACAAGCTAAATAAATAATGCGTAAATAATTGGCAAATACAGCCCAATGTCTATCAGCTACACGTGATCACGGCTAAATAATCCATGCAAGGAATTAAGGATTACATGTTCTCATGCTTTAGAAAAGTAATATGGCACAAACAGACATACAGCAATCATACATAAGTGTAAGGTAGGAAAGAACTACTACCTGGTCTGCTTCCCTCCAAATAAAACCTTACTTGCTTCCTTTCTCTTAGCTTCTTCGGTGGGCTTTTGCAGATATCAAAACCTATTATATTAGTAAGAGTAGGTTAATGCTTGATCCAACATAATTTATAAATTAAATAATTCTCTTTAAATCCCAATCTCCTTCAATTTCTACCCTTACTTAATAGTTGGTCATCCTGAACAATTTTTCTTATTTAAACTATTCTCTTTGGAGGGTTTTCTTCCTTATCTCAACCCATACAGTTACTTTACTTAGTAACTAGTCATCTTGGTCAAAAATACTATTTTTATTTTTTATATTTGAAGGCAAATAATGAGTTCCCTATATTTAATCATTCTAATCTTATTGAAATTAAATCAATTAAAATTCAACTCTACTTCATTTACCAGTTTGGCCGAGACACACACCCAAAATACATGTACTTACCTAAATTCCCATGCACCCATAAATATTTTCATAATTAACTACACATCATTCTTAATCTCTTAGATTCCAACTTAAACTTCCTTAAGCAAATATCTATCTTTAAGATTATTTGGCAACCAAACAGCCATTAACTTTAATTCTCACTCAATCCTTCAATCCTTAAAACTTCCCAAACTTCAAACATCTTGTTTCAATTCCTAACTTAAATCCGGAAGCTTTGAGATTTAAGAACAATATTCAAATAACCATTTTCAAAATCTTTAAATATACTTAATTACTTCAAGCATTTAAAGATTCTTGAACACTATGATCGATTAAATCTGGAACTTCCAGATTTGAAACATACCTTTCAAGAATCAAAACTCCACATACAAACCCATAAATCAAATACTACATGTTTGGCCCTTGTTCTTTATTTTCTTAAAAATGTACCTAAAGCCAATAGTTACTCTTTTTCCTACATTGCAAGGTTTCAGATTTCAATTATAACCCCACAGCCTAACCTCCTCCTGAACAACAATTCCAGATTCCATGTTTTCCACTCCTAACTTCCACGGTCAGCACATACAACAATCATGAATTCATAAGTATTCTCTTATACACCCTCCAAAACCTCAATCCAAACAGCCATGGCATCCCCCGCGCACAGATATATATATATATATAGCTTATTTACTCTAGCATTTAAGTGTTTCATTCCCCTCTATTATCCAAAACTAAAACAGCAACTTCACAAATACAACAACCCCTGTCTCGGTACCTATAAACCAGAGCAAATAACACATACACCCAGAAAATTTACACAGCTATACTCACTTCGTCCATGCTATGGAACCCGACGCCAACTCAGCAAGATAAGACGACACCATCCTATTTGTAAAAATCACATATTTGAACTTAAATCCATCGAGCTTCATCATGCAGAAACCACAACCGCGTGCAACAGCAAATCTTACTTCTATATAAACCGCGTTCTCAAGCTTCATTATATGCACACATGATATATGGCAACTAAGGTCGAAACCTTTCCTATACATGCATGCACGAGTCTGACACTATATATATATATTATTCCCAAGCCATATACCCCTGTTTCGGTAAGTCAAAAACAGAGCAGGGAACCTACATTCAAGCCGAAAGATACATTCCATTATCATCAACAAGCTCTTCTCTTCAACCCTTCTCATGATTTAAATTCGTTCACAGCTTTCACTCACTTAACTACACCCAGAAACAACAACCCGTGAAGAACTTAAAGTGGGGAAACGATTTCAGAGACTTACCTTGACCAAGAATCACGGTTGCATGTGAAAATCTCTTCCTCCGATCACCTCTTTGCCGGCTTCAACTTCCTCAAGCTACTCTCGGTCTCTCAGCTCTCGCTCCTCTCACTCTCCGTCTCTCTCTCGTGCTCTCTCCCTCGTTCTCCTTCTCTCTTTTCTTTTTGACACCGTATGAACTGAATCAGACGCATGGATGACCAGCTGTATAACGGAGAAAGGATTCAGATGGCTGGAGGAGAAGGCAGCACGTGTGTTACAACATTTCTAGACCATTTTGCCCTCCAAAATAATTATTTCTCCAATCTTATCCCTTCTCCTATTTTTCTGAAATATAAGATATATCC